CCATCAGGGTGGTAAATCAATCATATTTAAGTTCATACTGGGTACAGGTGGGGAATAAAAGCGGCAGATGTATATACACATAAGCAATAAAGTTTACATTATGTAATTACTATGTTTATGAAAAGTGGCATAAAACCAAATTCCTATCATTGAGTCAGTTAAATGCCTAGGAAGAGGTAACATCGAGTTCTAAACCATGTGTAGCATTCTATACCCTGATTCTTGCCTTTTAAGGGTTTAAATATGGGAACAGAAATAGGATATTTACTTATAAAACATTAACTAGGATACATACTTATAAAACATTTAGTAACTCCATGTAAGTATGTTCTAGTACAGTGCCTGACATATTGTAGGCTTTCAAACATTATTGAATGAATGAATGTGTGGGTGGGTGGCACAGGCTCCAAATGCTCTTCGGGTTCAAAGAGATGACAGGTCTTTGTGTGCTGGAGCAAAAAGGGAAGATTTTAAACTGGATCTTGAGAATTACTTGAGTCTGAATAGGTGGAGTTTAAAAATGAACATTGTGTTCTCAAGGGATAAAGAATCAATTGACTTAAGTGGATGAGGGCTCTAAACTAGGGTAAGATAAGATCAGGAAGTTTGGATGTTATGAGATTGTAAACTCTTCTGTTAGATAAAGTTTAAGGGAAGGGACTTCATGTCTTTTTTCATTTTACTTGCATAGAATATGACACATAGGATGGGCTCAGCAGTTATGTGTTGATTGTCTGACAGATAGACCAGCTGGCTGACTGATAAGTGGATAAACTTCAAAACCTATCTCTAAGAGCTTTTCCTTTAGGCAATTTTAAAATTGATATTTTATGAAAATTCAGCTGTGATTAGACTATGGAATGTCAGATGTGATGGAGGAAAAGTAACTACAATTAAGAAGCTCTTGCAAATGATAAGAGGCTGAGAGAGAAATGAAGTGAGTCCAGCTGGGAATGGAAAGAAATTATTTCTTCTAAGAGTTACTCTGAGGAAAAACTCCCTTAGAGTTAGATGTTCCTTCTTCTTTATGTTTCAGGTCATGTTCCCTAGAAGCAGGGACTGAAGTGGGGATTGTTGTCCAGGAGTCCCACTGTGGGAATTCTCTCAGTTGAAATGTGAGTGAGGAAAGAGCACAGAGCAGAGGCTGAAATGCAGCCAAGCCATGTGTTCAGCTAATGTCTAGCCCCAGTCTGAAGGAGGAAAGATGCCACAGAGTAGCCCCTCATTGAGGCAGGGGGACTGCTTTTAGTCCCCACTCATTAGCTTTAGGTGTCTGCCCACTTAGAAGGGAAAAGATCATAACCTTTCAGGCATTTCCTGGCTAGGATTCTTTGAGTCAAGGGCGGTTCTTAGAAGAAGGGGGCAGCCAAGAAATGGTAGCAGACAGGACTCAACAGCTGGAGTTGAGTGCACTAACCTGGTAAAAGGCATGTTGGCAGGGCACCGACAGTGTCTACTATGCTCTGCTATGGTCTTTTCTTCACATAGCATCTTTCTGAGAACCATGTAAAGCTTCCCATCATATCTAGAATAAAATCAAAACCCCTTTTCTTGACCTGCACAATCTGGCCCCTTTCTACCTCTGTGGGTTTGTCTGTATAAACTCTACATCTGACTAAACTTTAGTCTTCATTTTCAAGCATGCCAAACTCATTCTTATTTTAGAGTCTTTGCACTTGGTTTTTACCCTGCCTGGAATACTCTTTCCCTAGATCTTCACAAAGAACTTCTCATCATGCAGACCCCTCTATTAAGATGCCACCTCCTCAGAGAGGCCATTCACTGTCAGTCTTGACCAAGAAGCTCTAAACTCTTCTCAGCTGTCACCCTGGTGTCTTGATGAGTAGTCTTCCAATAAATATTATTGAATTAATAAGTAATTGGTTTGAGAGAAATGAATAAGTATTGAATTTTCAAGGTCTCTCTGGATAACAGTGAAAGAAGTGTGAAAGAAACATTAACAGAAATGACAACTGTGAAGGGTGAGTTAATGTGTGCAGAAAGATGTGAAGTTTTGGTTCATATACATACATATAAATATGTGTGTGTGTGTGTATTGAGTTTGAGATAATGGCAGGAAAATATATGGTTAAGGCAGAATAGTGTTATTAGGGTCACAATTCTAGAACCAAATTCATATCAAGCTCTACCACCATACACCAACTACTAGATCACGGTCAAGTTATTTAATCCCTAGTGTCCTTGCCTGTAAATGAAGATGATGATATTACCAATATCCTAATGTTATTCAGAGAACTGAATAATTTATAGGTATTAAATCACATAAGACAGCATCTGGCTTACAATAAGCATTATTTCTAATGGAATTCAAGGAGTCTTGCATATAGCAAAGATGGTGCCAGGCTGGGACTATAGTTAGCGAGTGAACTGCCTGTGGACAAAGTTTGAGGAAGCACTCAGTCACTCAGAGTGTTGTGAGGGTAATGAGCATACCTCCTTGAATTATATGGTATTGTTCTTTTATTTGCTTTAGCCTAATCCTTGCCCCTGGCTGAAGTAATTGAAGAGAAAACCCTTAAGTAAGGTTCTCTAAATCCAGATGTAATACCTCTTTTTTTCTGGCCTTTATGGGAGTGGTTTCATGCTGTTGTTAATCTCTGGCTTGGCTCACTGTCATTTGATTGCCTCTCAGTTTTTTCCTTCACTTATGTAACCAGTTCCCATAGTCCCCTCTGTCCAGATACTCAGTGGGTTCTTGTTTTCTTTGTCAGACTCTGACAGCAGGATTCCAGGAAGGAGAGGGAAGAAACTAACATTTCGAGTGACTTCAATATGTTATGTACTTTCACATATAAGATATTTAATCTTCATCAGGTTGTGGAATGATGTCCATTAGATACTTGGTAGAAGAGAAATCTGAGATTCAGGGATGTATAACTTATCCAGGATCACCAAAAAAAGAGCTGGGATTCAAATCTAGTTTGAATGTAGAGTTTATACTTTTTCTGCTTTGCAGAGCATCTGGAAGCATCCATATGGTAGGTAAACTCCCATTAAACTACAAGAATTCATTAGCCTTTTTTTTCCAGTGAGGTTTTTAAGAATTTTCTGAGAGATACTTTTAGAACTTCTTCTCTTCAATCTTTATTTATTTATTGAAGTAAAATTCACATAACATAAAATTAATCATTTTAGGGTGAACAATAACATTTAGTACTTTCACAGTTTAGTTCCAGAACATTTCCATCAGTCCAAAATAAAACTCGTTTCCCTTTAAGTTTTTCCCGTTCCCCTCTCCTTTCAGTCCCAGGCAACCCTAAGTTTATGTCTTTTTCTATGGATTTACCTATTCTGAATATTTCATATAAGTGTAATCATACAATATGTCATTTTTATGTCTGGCTTCTGCATTCAGTATGTTTTCAACATTTATCTACTTTGTAGCATGTGTCAGTGATTTTACTTCTTTTTATGGCTGAATAATACTTCTTAGTATATATGTGATATATATTTGTGCTTGTGTGTTTATGTATATATCAGTTTGTTTATCCATTCATCCATTGATAAGCATTTGGTGTCCATCTTTTGGCTATTGTGAATAGTGCTGCTATGAACTTACATGTATACATATTTACTTGAGTACCTGTTTTCAATTCCTTTGGAAATATATGAACCCATTAACTTCTAGATCATTTATCTAATTCACTTCTTATCAATTTAAGATTACAAAATGAAAAAAACACATAACTATGCTAATTTTTTTCTTTTTGAAGGCTAATCACATATAAACTTCTAATTTTAATTTACTCTGCAAATTTGTTCATATTTCTGCTCACTGTGTGTATGTGTGTGTGTGTGTGTATGTGTGTGTGTGTGTGTATGTGTGTGTGTGGCTATAAGTCTGTCTGAAGGTATGGTAGCACAGAGGATTTTAAAAACTTTTTAAATATAACCACTCTGAGACTTTAAGGTTCATAGCAACCCCTGGTATGTGTTTTATGTCAATAACAGCAGATTTTATCTAAAGTACATTTTCTAGGTCAAAGAGATCAAGCTTCGTTGAAGGAAAGTGCTAACCGAGAAGCGTTATTTGGAATTTTGGACAAACAAGTAAATGCAGCTATTTTTAGTTTTGTGTAAATAAAATTACACTTCTCTCTTTAGGACAAATAAGACCAGATGAGGGAGGGATCGTTTGTGCTTTTGTAATTTATGTGAAAAGGTATATGATCTAAAATAAAGTGAATGCACAAATAAAATAAATAGCTCAGGTGCAGATTATTTGTTTATGAAATGAAACATCTTGAAAATAAAGGAATGCTGACAGCAGCTTAGTATGCAATATACCACACTCCTGTTCTTACCCTTATATTTTCAAAACCATACATAGTAATTTAGTTGCATTCCCATTAATATTAGTGGGAGTTTTGAAACTTAAATTTCTGCACACATCTTTGCAAATGTATAGGTCAATGTAAACTGTTAATGAAAAACTGTTTTTCATTTTCAGTGAAATGGTTTGGATATCTCACATGGTGTCCTAGAAGGTACCTTCATTCTAGTTACAGAAGAAGAATTATGGTATAAGGTTAATATTTGGAGGTCATCATCTTTAAAGCACCATGGATAAGAAATCATATTTAAGAGAAAATGTGTTTTTTCACCACAAAGTTCAGGATCTGTGTTGTTTTATAGTCAGCAAAGGGGATTGGACCCTTTCAGCTGGGCGCATCTGATCTGTAATAGAGGCATGCTAAGGTGAATTTTAATTAGGACTAAATTGTGGTATTACTCTTTCATATCCTGAACATCTGTTCCCTTCAGAAATGATGATTTATGCAAGCTATCAGAGCAGACAGCTTGCTACAGCTTATGTCACGGTTAGTGGGAAGCTGGTGGTAGTATTTCAGAAAACCAGCATCTAAATGGAGACTGGCCAGTGTGTATGATATAGGTAAAAGGGGGAAGGGAAGCATGATGTGTCCATTTTTAATTCTGAAGCCAAATATTGACTTGCTTTTTTAAAAACTATCTTCTAGACCATCTTTTGTTAATGAAGAAAGTAACTTGGACAATGAGTGGGCTGATGCTTCCTACTGATATCAAAAGACGGAAAACCAAGCCTGTACTTTCTATTAGAATGAAGAAACTTATTGAGAAGACCTCAGTCCGTATTCTGTTCTTTAAGAATGGCATGGGGCAGGATGGGCATGAGATTACAGTGGGAAAGGAAACAATGAAAAAGGTAATTTTGTACTAAATATTGAAATATGAATCAAATTTCAAAGTTTTAATGATTTTTAAAATCTGTTATTTTTTCCTTCTAAATAGCAATGTGAACTAATAAACTAAAATATCAAGAAAACATTACATATATTCACCTGGTTGGACGTATACTTACTGTACTAATAGCATGAATTACCTTAGCAAAGCAGTGATACTTATTTGATTAATATAGTTGGCCATTTACCTGCTCATAGTTTATACCAGGAAGAACTTTCTAGTTGTTTCAATATTTTAGAAGATATTTAGAATTAAGCTACTCTAAACTAGCTTCAAATCTCAAATATGCCTCTTTTCATTTAGAATAAGACCTAAAAGTAGTCTTGCTCCTTGAAAGAATGAGCAAAATCTGAAATAACTAAAATTTTGTTTGAAAGTATTCAGATAAATTAAAAAAAAATCTGAACAAGCCTAAGAAATATTGTATAATCAACAAAACTTTAAAAAAATTAAACTTGTAGTATTACTTGTCATAGAAATACCCATCTTTAAAGAAAGTACATATACTTCTCAGATCATCTTTTATATTAAAAATACAGAGGCACTAATAGGAATTTGAAAAATATAGCTTTTCATGGATGTTTCAACCAGTCTTAAAGCAGTCTAATAATGATATAGTGACTCAAATTTATTAAGAATATATGATAGGGAAAGACAGTGAAATGAATCTGACCTAACTTTTTTATGTACATATATGAATATACCACAGTGAATCTCACCATCATATACATCCACAAGACACTAATTTAATCAAAAGTTATAAGTAAATAGCAGAAAGATCAGTAGAGTAGACAGAAGGGAACTGGGGAAAAGAAGAAGGATGGGAAAGTAGAAGTGTTGGGGACTGAATTAGAACAAACTATATGCCAAGCTTTTATGACTATGTCAAAATTAATCCTAATGTTCGATATAACTAAAAAGAACCAATAAAAAATAAAAATTACAAAAAAGTATGAGAGACAGTAAATTACAACAAGACAGTCTAGGTTGGAATCTTGGCTTTGCCATTCACTAGCTATGAGACTTTGGACAATTTAGCTTCTCTGAGCCTCAGTTTCTTCATCTAGAAATCTCTACTTCATAGAGTTGCTGTTAGGATTAAATGTGACATTGTGCATTGAGTACATTGTGCCTGTCACTCAAAGAAAATTTTCGTAATTCATAAAACTCATGATTGGATATGTTTCAGTAATAATCATATATATACTTATGTTCCCAGTAAATATTTTCCATTATCATTTTTAAGACTCATAAATACATATCAAATAGAAATTATTTTTCTTACCAACAGGGGACAACTCTTATGAACTCAAGATGGATGTGGTTTTTTATACCAGACTATTTTGAATTGAATTTTGCTTGAAATAAGTGAATAGTTGACTATAGAGACTGAAACTTTTTACTAAAATAACCATTTCTTTATGTAATTATTTTTGTGGTTGTTTTAAAACTACAACCACTTGAGAATGTTTACCAATGATCTGGGAAATATGGGTTTTATTGCCTTCTTATCTGCAATTTGAATTATAAGTAAAATAAGGGATACTGCACATCAGAGAAGATTGCTAAGGCATGTTGTGAAATCTTTCCTGGAAATTTTGAAAAATAAAGAAGGATATATATATAATCTTGGATTGTTAAAATGCAATCATTCTTGGATATAGATGCTAGATTAGATGACTTCTTGAGTTCAATTCAATCTCTATAATTCTATGCCTCAATGGTAAAATGAGGTAATAGTCACTTACAGATTACATGTTCTTAGATGAAAGGTTGAATATAAATAAAAATGTCACTGTTGTTTTTTGTTGTTATTGCCTTTTTATTGTTGTTGTTGTTTCTAGAGAGAAATTTATTTAAAACTGGGAATTGTGTGATCAAGGGAGTCTTCAGCTTCTTCTTTTCCTTACAATTTTTAAACTTTACAGAACTTCTACTATAGTATATTCATGTATGTACAAAGAAAATTTATCATGTGTATCCATAAGAAACTAACCAAAAAGAAAAAAAATCTAAAAGTAAGTAGTGGAAGAATCAGTAGTGTAGAGAGAAGGGAACAGGGAGAGGGAGGATGGGAGGGAAAAGAGAAATACTGGGGACTGAATTTGAGCAAATTGTATTCCATGATATTTAAATTATATAAAAATGAATCCTATTGTTATGTATAACTAAAAAGAAACAATAAAAATTTTAAAAAGAGAATTTTCACAATTCATAAAACTCATGATTGGATATGCTTCAGTAATTATCATGTAGATACTTACCTAAATATCAGTTTTACAAGTTGAGGTAGAGAGGAAGCAATAAAATGCTAGTCTTAGGTGTCAGTAAGAACTTTTGTGAAGTGAAAAATAAGGCTAAATAATTATTTTGTAAATAAAATTTAAACTTTGAAAAAATTTTTAATAATCACAGAATAATGCCTATTCACAGATTAAATAACAAGTAAGTAAAAGAAATAAGGTAGCATTGTCATAAGAGAAATGTTAATTATTTTCTTTTTCATGATAAGATATTAGGAATGATAACTATGTTTAGATTCTTACTAAGAGTTATAGAAGTTAGGTAGACTGTAAAGGAATATGATGAAGGTTATTAAAGTGGAATAAGGAGAGAATTGCTGAGGATGGCTGGTAAAATAAGGTGGTTAAAGTAGAAAAGTCCTCTTTATGCTCAGAATGGAACCAAATGGAAATGATTGTATTTTAATCATAGATGGGATATCAGAAGAAAATCCACTTAATTGTTTTAGGAATTTAAGTAATTAAGAAACCTAAAATGATGACCAACATGATAAATTTCTTCAATAAATCCTGGAATATCAAAACTACTGCATATTAACTTGAAACTTGAATCTGATAGTTTTAGAAATAGTTGGTATAGTTTTAGTAATCACGCAGCATTTACTTCAACAGGGTATATATTAAATGTATATATCCTTGTGACAAAAATGTTAAGAAAAAATTGTAGGTATAAGATGCCAAATTAGTGGGAAATGAAATGCTTCAGACACCTAAGATTTTAAGGTTAATATCAAGGTGAATAAGTTTTTTTCTCCACCAATTAGCTCTTGGATTCATTATTTAAAAAATGGTAGATATTATTCAGGATAGCATCTTCTTTGTAAAAAATGTTTACTATTTTCTCAGCAGTTAATAATTGTATCTTGCTTATTTGCTTTTTACTTTGTTTTCTATGTACTGTCACTAATGGCATGAAATTATGTTGATGAAGAAAGTTATGGAAAAGATAATGAAAGAATTGAAACAATGAAAATGACCTTTAACCTCTTGCTGCAGTTTGAACCAGTTGTTCTTTTTGAACTCTATCCTGGGATCTCTCTTCACAATCAAGCTAGGGAGTATTATTTCCTTTCTCATCTGTTGGAGTCCTTCTTCCTGTTTCCTTAGTTTTCCTCTATCTTCATTTACTCAGTTGTTCACATAGGACTGCCCAAGAATGAGTTAAAGAGGTCAATTTTTTGAGATCTTGGGAAATACGTTTTTTTCCCCCTCCAAATATTTACTCTTCTACTCTTTGTTGTTTCCAGTTTTGCTATTAAGCAGTCTGATACCAAACTGATTTCTTATCCTTTGTGGCTGACACAAAGGATGAAAACATTTAGAAATCTTCTCTTTATTGACAGTGTGCAAAAGTTTTTCCTAGTCAGGGTGTATTTTCAGTCTCAAGTGTCTCATTTTTCTCTTTTGAGAAGTTTGTTGAGTTATTTATTGGACAATGTCAATATTCTCCTCTGTTATTATTCTGATATTATGGAACTTCTAATTTTATGTTAGATTATCTGGAATATTTGCTTATCTTTACCTTTTTTTAAAATTTTATTGTTGGTTGTTCAAAACATTACATAGTTCTTGATATATCTTATTTCACACTTTGATTCAAGTGGGTTATGAACTCCCATTTTTACCCCGTATACAGATTGCAGAATCACATCAGTTACACATCCATTGATTTACATATTGCCATACTTTTGACTCAATGAATTTTTTAAAAAATTTTCCCTGCATGATCTTTGTTTTCTCTATGTACTTGGTTTTTGTTTGGGGATTTGTTTGTTTTGTTTTGTTTATGGTCTTTTGTGTTGTATACTTTATTTAATTATAGATTAATGCTACATCAATATTTAAGAACTAAAAAGTTACTTAAAAAATCCTGTGAGCATAGGGTGTGTCTTATTGAGGGATAGATTTCATTGACCATTCTTGACTATATTTTTCTTGAGATGGGGATTTGTCAGCGTTGATAGGTTACTTTTCTGGGGCCAATCAGTTTCAACACAGAATCTGCCAATTTGAGCAGTTTGGTAGTCAGGTGGAAAAGGAGGTTGAGTTGAACTTTCTGTAGATAGACTTTCATTTAATTCTCTTCTTTTCAATAAACTCACTTTCAGCAATGCCTGGTGCCATTGATTCCCAATTTGTCTGGATTAAACACTCTCCAAAGAACAAATTTTCTTTATTTTCTAATGCTAAATGTGTAGTTGCCTGATAGGTGGTATGAGGGAAAGGTTTTGATAGTTTAACTGCTTTTTATAAAAATATTCAACCTGTTTTCAGCCTCACCTTTAGAAGTACCTGATATCTCAAGTTTCTGAGTGTTTCTGAGTTCAACAATCTAAGTTCAATTTACTTTTGCTAGCTTAATTTTCAATTGTTTCTGCTAAATCATTTACAACTTAATTATCATTTCTCCTTTCTGCTTGTTATTTTTAGGAAAAAGAAAGCTGTATTATTTTTAAAAATATTGATAATGTTATTTTGTAAATAAAAATAATTTCAATATTCACTTCCTATTACAATTGATTATTTTGCCCAATTTCTTGGGGTTTTGTGTACCTTACTTTGGAAAACACAGGGCTAGGTTACCTGAAATAGAACAGAATACTTCTGTCAACTAGAGGCATCATACTCTAGACAACAGACCTGTAGTAATTTTCAAAGT